CCCTCCTCTCTTTCCTCACATGCTTCTTGCGTGCTGTTGATGCAGATGTCTTGCTTCTTTGTAGCTCTTGGCTGAAGTTTTCTTGTGATGTGTGTTGTGTCTGCGTTGTGCAGGTGAAGGCGACGACGCTGTCCTTGTCCGTGCTTGTTGCGATCGAGATGTTCAATGCATTGAATGCGCTCTCGGAAGACGGCAGTCTTCTGACGATGCCACCGTGGGTGAACCCGTGGCTGCTGGTGGCTATGGCGGTCTCCTTTGGGCTCCATTTTGTGATCCTGTATGTTCCACTGTTGGCCAATGTCTTCAGCATCGTTCCGCTCACTCTGAATGAATGGCTGCTTGTCCTTGCAGTTTCGCTCCCTGTCATTCTGATTGATGAGGTGCTCAAGTTTTTCGGACGGATGATGTCTGCTCGAGAAAGGCGGCAAAGAAAGTTGAAGATGAATTGATTGATGTCGGTCGATTGGAGGATGGGAAAGTGGGGGGGGGCCATTGGCGGGGGGGTTGCCTAGCGGAGGAGTGGCAATTGCGCCCGGAAGGGGATAATTTTGGTAGCCTAAGGTAGGTAGGGAAACCACAAGGCTCTTAGAAAAGAGATGGGTGGCTCCAACTCCTTACGTGCATCAAGTGTGGAATCGGAGGGGGTTTTAGCGGTGCTCGTTTGCTCGAGACCTCACGGCTCGTTCACGTTGTCAGGGTTGGAACAGCAGCAGCATGTCATGTTGATCCATTCCCGGTGGAGGTAGGAGTGGCAATTGCGCCCGGAAGGGGATAATTTTGGTAGCCTAAGGTAGGTAGGGAAACCACAAGGCTCTTAGAAAAGAGATGGGTGGGGCCCAACTCCTTACGTGCATCAAGTGTGGAATCGGAGGGGGTTTTAGCGGTGCTCGTTTGTTCGAGACCTTGTCAGGGTTGGAACAGCAGCAGCATGTCATGTTGATCCATTCCCGGTGAAGGTAGGTGGACTTGATTATTTTTTGGTATACGAAGACTGATACGACCTTCCGCGGTGTAGTTTCCATGCCCAGTTCCCAGTCCCAGTTCCCGGTCCCAGTCCCAGTTCCTGGTCCGAGTCCCAGTTCCCAGTCCCAGTTCCTGGTCCCAGTTCCAGTTCCCAGTCCCAGTTCCCAGTCCCAGTTCCCAGTCCCAGTTCCTGGTCCCAGTCCCAGTTCCCAGTTCCCAGTCCCAGTTCCCAGTCCCAGTTCCTGATCCCAGTTCCTGGTCCCAGTTCCCGGTCCCATTTCCCGGTCCTAGTTCCACGTTTTGGGGTCCTATGAGAGGGGTTTAAACTCTCCCTAATATGTCAGGTCTAAGGTGCCGAGGGGTCACCGAGGTCATAAATGGTATACACTGTGCACCGCCACTTTTTTTCACCATCGTTTCGCTCTACTGCGACTCCCATTTTCGGGGGTTCAAATTTTTTCCCCTCAGCTGATTCCTCAGCTGAGTGTGCTTTCCTCTGTTTGCCACTTTGCCCTCGAGTGAGTTCTATTCTTTTTCTTCTTCTTTATTAAAGTTTATTTTTATTTCTCCTATTTTCGGAGCTGCCACTTGGTCCGGCAGTATTGTCTGCCGATGAGCACTAACTTCCACTTTCGCTCCTTTAGAGGCTGCCACTTCCATCTTCCCCAGCCCCATTTGATTCTCGCGCTTTCTCGCGCGCGCGGGCGTCACTTGGCCCACAACCTATTTTTCACCATTGTAACTGCCTCAGCGGAGGTTTTCTCGACTACCGGTAGTCGTCACTGAATTTGCAAGGGATTCTGTCCGTTATGTGTGCGCATTCTGAAACGGCGGAGGTGCCACGCAGCGGCCTCTGGCTCAGGCCTGCCTCTGGATGCCTCCAGCAAGTTGCATGTCTCTTTCCAAGTTTTGCCTCCTTGCCCGCAGACCCTGTTCGATCTCTCCCGTTCCGAAGAGAGGCTGTCGGTTGAGGTAGAGCCTCAAGACGCGCTCGAGCAGCACCTATCTATAAGGACACTCAGCTAACATACTTAGCTTTTGTTCATGCTTAGTGGCGTTGTAGGCCGCTGCAAGAGCGGGCCCTACTGACTAGGAGCTGACCCAGTGAGGTGAGGCTAGGGGGGGAGGGGTAGGGGGGGAGGGGTAGGGAACACATCACGGGCTGCTGAGGTGGAGTGTGTGGTGGGCAAGCTGGTCACAAAAGCTAGGTTGCAGGTAGCAAGAACGTGAATGGCGGCGGCGAATGCCAAATGATGATATGATGTGCGTGAGTTGCTGTTGCTGGTCGGTGTAACAAGCACATGCTTGACGTTGCGGAGAATGGCTTCAAAATACAGTGTTGAGCAGCTTCGTTGCTCGATCAGCAGTGCGTTGCTTCATCAGGCCGTCCACACGTGCGAGGTTCTACATAACTGGGCGGTGGTTTCGAGTGTTATGTAGAGAGCGTATAGGAGAGGCTTTGCCGATGATTTTTCCCTACCATTCTCTATCTTCCCCTCCGCCTTTGTCTCCCGTACACGCGACAGAGCAGATTGGTGTCTGTTCAGGACATCAATCTCAGACTTTAGAGAAGGGACGAAGCCACGATTCCGGCGAGGGGTTATCAAATTCATCATGAGAATTCAGTATCAGGGAAGGAAAAGTGAGTGTTCATGTCCATTGTTCATGTGCACTCGTTTGTGAATGACCAGGGGACAGATTCCCCCATTTTGCCATCTCTCTCTCTCTCTCTCTCTCTCTCTCTCTCTCTCTCTCTCTCTCTCTCTCTCTCTCTCACACACACACACACACACACACACACACATTCACATACACACACACACACACACATTCACATACACACACACACATACACACACACACATACACACACACATACACGCATTCACAGCTGCATGGTGATGATGTGTTGTTCTTATGGGCTATCCCTGTCGCCTTTCTCCTTGGTCCTCCTTGGGCGATCTTGGACAAGGCGAGTGCGTGGTGCAAGTTTGGAGGGCCTGCCTGTTCTTATGGGCTATCCCTCATGTTACGAGCGGTATCGGGGCTCCAGAAAGTGTTTGCTTTGTGGATTGGTGGACAACGCAAGTGAAATTTGACTAGAGGTTCAGCATTTTATATTTTTCATTCCTTCTACTCAGGTCTTTGACGGAGTGCAGTTTTGTCTTATCGCAATTCTTTTGGAACTGCAAGCCGTTCTTTTTTTTCTTTTTTCTTTTTCCCTTTTCTTTCGGTTTGGGGTGCTGCAATCTGTTCGTCGTTTATATTGCTTTTTTTCTTCTTTTTTGGATTTTTCGTGTTTGTTTTTTCCATCGTTCTTCGGCGCAGTTTGTGGCAAAACTCTAACCCCTTTTTTTATCTGATTAGTCCTCTTTCTTATCCTGTATCTTTTTACTTTTTTTTTGTTTTTTTTTCCCTTCCTTTTTTTTAAACCTTGCATCTTTTACACGAGTTCTCTCCTTCCTGTCCGAAATTCTCAACCCCACGAGGGGTTAGCAAATTTTTGCCGGAGTTTTCCTCGTGGTCTTTATTGCCTGTCCTCTCGCTGCCTTGTCGTCCCTGATCCTTCTGATCCCTCCATCGGAGTCCGTCGAACATCGAAGCCAACTGCGTTGCAATCGGATACCACGACCACAGCAGCAGCGAAGGGACGGCATTGAGATGTTGTCACACCGAACGAACTGGGGTCCATGTCATTCGGAACGAGTCCTATTTTTTATCGTGTTCATGTAGTTCCGCCGGGGATTTGAACTCGGGTCTGTATTTCATCAGTTAATGGATCTACCAACTGAACTAGGCCCGTTGGGTTTTTGGCGAGCCACACTTGTTTTTTTTTTTTCCGTGTGGGCTCCTTTGTCCCAGCTTCACCGGTTGCATAACTCATGGATGTCATACGCCGCCCTGCATCTAGTCCCCAAGTTGGTTGCGGCTGTGCCGCCACCTCCAACGTGTCAGTGTTTGCCTTGTTTACCAGAGGTGCCTTGGCCCTTCCACATGCCTACACCCACGTTCCTGACGTTGATGAATGGCAAGCACTGGACTCGATCAAGGATCACAAAGCCGGTCGGCGAATGCCAGACGCATGATGTTCTCATTCGTGGACATCATGTGCTGTCTGTATTCCGCAAGTTGCTGCCATTGAAACTAAGTGGTAAGGTCCAAATCGGTTACTTATTTATTTCCTTGGGCAGTTTCTTTCAGCAGGCAGAGGGCCGAAGGCCAGCGTGCATTCGCATTGGCCACTACCCCGCTCGGTTCCATGAACAATTCTCTCTGGAATCGGGTTTTTCGGCCTTTCTGCCGTATTTCTCGGTAGTGTATTGCGAGCCCTTTGGCACGCGTCCCCGGGTTTTGGGCGGCCTCAATTTCCGGGAAAAAACTTCAGGCACGCGTCCCCGGGTTTTGGGCGGCCTCAATTTCCGGGAAAAAACTTCAGGAATCCGGCGATCTGTCTATCTTTTTTTTTTTTTTAAATGGTTGCTCACAGGACCCACCCCTACCTACCTCATCTTTCTGCTTCCTTAGCGTAACCTCTGCTTCCTCATCTACGGGGGGCACTTGTTTGGCCCTCTCAGGTATACCGGACAGCGGTTGTAGACATCAGCGCTAGGCCATGACAAACCTCTCCCAGCCCTAGNCACTTGTTTGGCCCTCTCAGGTATACCGGACAGCGGTTGTAGACATCAGCGCTAGGCCATGACAAACCTCTCCCAGCCCTAGTTGAAGCACTATCGAGCGAGCCTTGTTCCACCGGGACTTCGGTCGCCAAGCATGATCGTTCTTTGTCCTTTTTTCCTATGAGCACCAGCCCAGGTTTGGTCAGACAGCGAATATTCCTTAGAAAACCCTTTCCCTAGGCAGTGTCTAGTGGTTCTACCCTAATCAACGTCTTACCTGAGACAGCCCTACTGACCCAACCTGGGCGCCATGTTCCTAGCGTAGCCTACTATTATTGCCCTATTAGGGTTTGTGTTACTGCTCATGCTGAGGGGGCCAAGGTTATCGATTCCGTAACCAGCACCAGTTCGCCGCAGGGCCAATTCCTGCCAGCGAAGACCTATCGCGCCTTAGAGAACAAACAGTGCAAAGGAGCAATTCATTTGGTAGTGTTGCGGTCGCCCATAAAATTAAGAAAGCCATCATTAAGGCGAATAAAGCAATAGCTTCAGTTGGTTAAGGCAAAACCTAAAATGGGCAGGGGTTAGATGTGAGTCCGCCCCCTTCCCCCTTGCACCCTCGGTTGGTTATTATTAGTCACGAGTTATGATCCCAGCCCAGTCTGGAACCGAATGTTTTGACGGAGCCACCCTAGGCAATGTCTTACCTAAGTCACAACTCTAGACCAGTCTGGGCGCCTATTTGGATGATATTACAGTTGGTGCGAGTGCCAGTCCGGCTCCGATTGTTTCCACGGAGCCACCATAGGCAGTGTCCCTAAGCAAACTCTAGACCAGCAGGTGTGCCACTCCAGGCTAGCCCGGAACCGAATGTTTCCTCGGAGTCACCCTAGGCACTGTCCTACCTATGCCAACTCTAGACCCGCCAGAGTACCTATCGGAATTATTTCATGGTTGGAGTATATTGTCCAGGCTAGTCCGGAACCGAATGTTTCCACGGAGCCACTGTCGGCAATGTCAGAACCTATGCCAAGTCTAGACTAGACTGTGCCATGCCAAACTAGTCCGGAACCGAATGTTTCCGCGGAGCCACCCCAGGCAGTGTCTTGCCTAGGCGAACGCTAGACCAGCCTGTGTACCTATCAGGTATAGACGTGACGAATGGACATAGTATGGAGGGGGCAGGGTTATCGGTCCGTAACCGTTGCACCAGTTCGCCACAGGGCTGATTCCTGCCAGGGAAAACCTCCAGCCCATCCCCCCCTGCACACCCACCCACCCCCCCCCTCCGCCCAGTCGATTATGAGCTATTTATGTGTTGTGTGTATTGGAGTTGAACCCGCAACCTCCAAGTTACGATATCCGAGCTCTACCCACTGAGCTATTGAGGCCATTAGTCTGTAAAGGTGCAATGCCAGGCTCGGGGCAAGTACGTGGGGTGAAATCTACACCAACCGATTGTGCTCAGGGAAAATTGTGGGCTTGACAAAGTCGAACTCACAACCTCCCCGTTGCAACACCAGAGCTCTGTGACCTCTGTCCACTGAGCTACCACGCACTTGCTTTTAACGACTGGCCGTCTCGAAGGTAAGACGCCAAGCATGCCACAGGCACTATCGTGGGGGCAATGAGAGTTCACCTCCTGAGTGCCGCTTGAACGCCTTACCAACTGAGCTACACCCAGTTCTCTCTCTCTCTCTCTCTCTCTCTCTCTCTCTCTCTCTCTCTCTCTCTCTCTCTCTCTCTC